AATTTTGAACTAGCTTGATTTACCCAAAAGATAATTAGGAGAATAAAAACTTCCATTTTGTTCCATAGCCAAGTTATTACTGTGAATCAAGTGCACAGAAATGCCCCATTGAGGAACGTTTCACAAGAACGCTTTATTCTCATGGGTGAACACCACACCACATGGGACATCGTCAAATAGGGGCCCAGAGTCTTCGGGATCGTGGACGTGAGCGCGCCTCTCAGGTCCGTGTCACTTTGCACTTGCAACGTACGTGTGGACTCCCCTCAGTCAGGGAAATTCTGCTTCTGAGAACCATAAGAAAGAAGGCTTCACATGAAGAAACCTAGGAATTCATGAGTAAAATTGAGTTGGGGAATAGTCACTGGAAGTGAATCCATAAAAGCTTTCAGAATTACTATGTGGTCCTTAAAATAAAACAATATAAACAAAGACATTGAAGATAATGTGAATGGCATTAGACTTCTCAATTCAGTAAAATTTAATTCAGAATAATTGCATTACATTCTTGCCTACATCTATAACTGTATATGCCATTTAACAAATCTGCATGATTTTCTTTTGGTGTCTACTATTTTATCAGAACATTCAGTGCTTTCCTGAAGAGTGGGGGGATTTCGTATCAGGCTTTCTAAAAACAGTTCAAACTCAAACATTGAATAATTTTATTCTGAACCACTTAACTCATAGCCCCAAAGCTTAGAAACACAGTAGTATTAAAAAGTTTATAGTAAATCATGAAAGCTGGGCACGGTGGCTCATGCCTGTAAACCTAGCATTTTTGGAGGCTGAGGTGGGCAGATCACATGAGGTCAGGCGTTAGAGACTAGCCTGGCCAACATGGTGAAATCGCGTCTCTACTAAATATACAAAAAGTTAACCAGACGTGGTAGTGAGCACCTGTAATCCCAGCTGCTTGAGAGGCTGAGGCAGGAGAATTGCTTGAACTCAGGAGGCGGAGGTTGCAGTGAGCCAATATCATGCCACTGCATTCCAGCCGGGGTGACAGAGCGAGACTCTGTCTCAGAAAAAAAAAAAGAGAAGAATCATGAGTCTCCAAGGTTGGAGAAGAAGTGGTTCCCATATATATACTTGCACAATAAGTACTGTTGGCTTCATAAGGAATAGAAATCATTTCTGATTGCAATAACCAAAAAAATTGCTCATTACCTTACAGTGCAATTACTCTAAGTTTGAGGTGGCCTTTGAGTTCTCCATGAAGACTAAGCAGTATTTTTAAAAACTCTTATGGGAAAAGGGAAGGGTTTGAATAAAGGGAAATCCTCCAAGCAGAGTTGTAGCGGGGTCGGGGAGGGGGAGGCTGCAACATGCATGCAAGCTCATGGAAGAGGAAAATTCAGGAGGCCGTGCTGTGAGGTGAGGCTAAAGACAGTTGCAGAAGCTTTCACCGCTGTACTTCCTGAGATAAACAGTGGGGAGACTGAGCAGCAGGCTGCATTGTCAGAGCGATCCCTTCTGACTGCTCTGGAGTCCCACACATGTGCTGGTCACGCACTGGGCTGTGTCTCGTGACCTTGGCATTGGCATGATCATGACCCCTTCTGTGGTATGAGAGGAAGTATATCTGGTCTTTGTCCCTGATTCCTGAACAGAGCTCCTAAAACACTTGGAAGTTCCTGAGTGACAGGAGTGTCCTTTGATACTCATTATGAGTCCCTTTTGATCAGACCTGAATTTATGCTAATGAGATGACTGAGGCTGGGGCCCCAAGATACCCTCTGGATGGGACTGGTTACCAGAAAGACCAAGTGATTAGAGAGTTGGAACTTTTGCCCCTACTCACTGCCTCTGGGGGCTGGAATGAGCTGAAGATGAAGCTCTATAAAAGCTCTTGAACAATGAGATTTGATGAGCTTCCAGGCTGCTGAACATGTGGAAGTGCACAGAAGCACCCCCAAACCTCGCCCTCTGCACCTCTCCCATCAGGCTGTTTATCTGTGTGCTTTGTGATATGTTGTATAATAAATCCATAAACACAAGTAAACTGTTTCCCTGCATTCTATGAGCCATCCTAGCAATTCATCAAACATGAGGAGGGGTCGGTGGTGGGAATCTCCGATTTACAACCAGTCAGTCAAATGCATAGGAGGACTGGACTTGCCACTGGCATGGGAAGGGGCTGTGGTCTTGCAGGACTGAGCCTTTTCCATGCAGGGTCTGACACTAACTCCAGGTAAATGGAGTTAGAATTCAATTAAATAGCAGGACACCCAGATGGCATCAGAGAATCGGTCAGTATGGGAGGCTGAGGTGGGCAGATCATGAGGTCAGGAGTTCCACACCAGCCTGGCCAACATGGTGAAACCCATCTCGACTAAACATACAAAAACTTAGCTGGGCATAGTGCCAGGTGCCTGTAATCCCAGCTACTCAGGAGGCTGAGGCAGGAGAATCACTTGAACCCAGGAGGTGGAGGTTGCAATGAGTTGAGATAGTGCCACTGTACTCCAGTCTGGGTGACAGAGTGAGACTCCATCACAAACAAAAAGTGGGAGAAACTCATATATCCAGTGTCAGTAGTGCCCTGTGAGAGTGAAGAGGCTGTATTTTCACAGATCATCTCAGGCCTCTGCATCGCAGGAGAGGAATCAGGAGCTGCATTTCCCAGGCCCCCTTTCTCCTGGTGGTTCTGGGTTCCAGATGTCAGGGAGAGCTACTTCAGGGAGGTGTGGATAATGGAGAGAAGGCAGTGCCCGCCAGAAAGTATGTGGAAGGGATGGTCCACACAGGGGCTAAGCACACTTCGCAGGAGGTCCATCCTCACTGCTGCAGGCCTCAGTGTACCCTTCCTGACTGGTTCTCCAGACCATCCAGTGGTTCCATAAGCCACTGCTTCCCTGTGTGAACACCTGTTCTTTCTTGGAATGCACAAGGTATCTGTTTCCTGATTGGCAGTTTGGATGGAGAGAGACTGGCAGGAAGAAGGTGGTTTAAGGAGCATGCATCAGTCTGGTGTGCGGTACTGGGCTCAAAAGCAGAACTAATCTCATTTAAGCATCTCATATATTCACTCTTGATTGCTCAGTCACTCTGCACCAAAGCCCTCCTAGCCAGCCTTGGAGACACCCAATTTCACTTTAGTCAGGGTAGGAGTGGGAGCTGGCTCACTCCCAATTACATCTTCAAGCCAAATTTTACCTTCGTCCTTTCCCTCACTTGGTTTTACCAGGCTGGTATCTGTATGTCAGCCCTTCACTTCCCTGGACAACATCTCTATTCAAATCCAGAAGGTACATGGCTTCCATGAGGACAATTGTGATCTACTTCGATGGTTGAGAACTTTTTAATGTCAGGATCTCAGTGAAGTTTGAGAGAGTTCAATTAGCCCACTGTATAAGAACCTCTCATCAAAATAAAGTTGGCACAGCTCTCTCCTCAACTGTTTCCTTCTTCCATCTCTACTGACTCGTTCAGAGCAAAATGACAAGCTCCCATGCCAGAAGAAAAAGGTGGGAAATCTGCAGAGTCACAGAGTATGCAGTGTGGGGCAAGGGAAACAACATTTCATAATCAATATTTTAGGTGGTATTGTAGACATCCTCCAGTTCTCTCTCCCTCTCCCCCTCACATCATGAGAGTTTGGTATAATAGCCCCAGTTTTCTCAGAACTCTGGCTCATGGTGAAGAAACACCTGCCCCGAGAGCATGCAGCTGGCTAGAAGGGGGCAGGGCCATTTCTCTCAGGTTCCAAAGTCCCCCACGTTTTTACTCCCTCCATTTACCAAGGGGTCCTGAACCCCTGAGTCCAACTGACAAGCAAGTTCTAAGGCCAGTGTTCAACGCAGAGTGCACGTGAGAGGGCAGATGCCGACAGGTGTGGGGCATATGTGGGGCTGCAGGTAGACAGGTGTGCACTCCAAACTTGAGTTGGGACATATTTTAACTGAAACCCTTATATGCTTCTGAAAGTAATATGAGAACTGGAAGTAAATCTTGAGTGAGGTACTTTATAATGAGTTCACTTGGCTCTCCTGAATCCAATATTGAAGAGTTCTGCTGAATGAAATTCACTAGAAAAGGCTAGAAACAGGCTCATTATTTTTATTACCCTTTTAAAGCCTTCATTTAAATCCCAGGATTGTAAAATACGTCCCATGTCCTGAAATTGTAAATTGAATCAAGACCAAGAAACTGGCCCAGAAAACTTGCCTGAGCTGCTGAAACCAGTGATGCCTGCAGAAGTGATTTCCATATGCCCCTGACATTTCCATCTCAAGGCCAAGTTCCCTGTATCACAGCTCTACTCGCATTGCAGGCACTCCGCAGCCAGGGCACCGTGTGTCCTGATGCTCAGAAAGTAAAGCTGGGGTGTCTGCACAGCCACCTGCTCACCGTGCCCTCATTAGGGCTGAGGAGCAGCTCATTTGTGGCCCTCCATGGAGCAGAAAGTCCAAGTGGCTTCTTAGAGTCGGGAAGGGAAAGCCTTGCTTTGCCTTTGTTTCCCTTGAGGACTTTCCATCACCTTCAGAATGAAGCTCAGGCTCTATAACTTGGCATTTGGTGTCCTTTGTGCTGTGACCCTGCCTCCTTCTCCAGCCACATCTCCTGACCCCCACTTCTCCTCCCTGCGGCCCCCATAAATGCTGGAATCTCTTCATTGCCTACTGCTTTTTCCTTTTCAAGCTTAAAAAGCTTTCTGAATTCCCCAAACTCTTAACACATGACCTTCTCAATCCCAGTCAAACAATATCCTCATGCAAAGCTGACCTCTGCAGTGACGGTTTCTGAAACTTCCCAGAAAGAGTGCATTTTCCCTCTCTTTGTATTTCCCTTGCAGCCAATGAATACCTCATGTAAAATGGAAGTGCATTACTTTATAATCATTTCTTCCCATGTGATCCTCCAGATCCAGACCATGTACAACTCGCTTTAACATGTCCTGGCCTGTCAGTGTGTCTGAAATACGTTAGGCATACAATTTGTGACTTTTTACTAAAGTTATCCATTAATGATGTGCCTTAAATGACACATTTAGTGCTTTAAAGAGATTCCAGGATCTGGAATTCCAGGACAGGACAAAGGAACATTGTCTTCATCTTCTCTAACTCCTCCTTAGCCTTTTCTTGGTCCAGTGAGAAGGAAGTTCGCTGGGTCCTATTTGATGAAGACTTCCCACCAACAGGGGGAAAGTCATTGGCTACGACTTCCCATAGCCAATGCCAGACATAGCCCTTGCTGAATTCACTTGTAAATCTCATTGAGTCAGGATGTCTGCAGAGTTTGTGGTTAAAGTTCCCCATGCCGCTGATTTGACAAAGGATTTTTTCCAGACAGCCACACCTGGAATTCTCAGAACTTACCCCCAGACATCGACCAGCACCTGGAAGCCCTGATAACAGAAGACGAAGTTTAAAGAGGAGACATTCTAAGCTGAGGGTGAGGATTAAAAAAGCAAAGACATGATTTCCATAGGAATAACTGTAGCTTGGCAGGATCCCAGCAGAAAATGGTACTAGGATATGGCTGGAAATTAGAAAAGAAAGGACAAAAGCAATGCAAACCCCATGTCTGCACAAAGAAGTTATTTAAAGGATCAAATGTATAATTAGGAATAAAATATGTTTCCCCTGCCTTTGCCACTACCTATCTAATTGCTAATTAGTGGGACTATGAGCTGTTAGAAGAAAGATATGAATAATGGTTAGAGGCCTTCAGATAAGGATAACACTCATAGCAATAGAGGAAACCATGTCCATTGGTGTATAGAAAATGAGGCTTGATTTCTGAGACATACTTATATGAACATGTATATTTATTGTATGTCACGCAATAGCAGCTAAAATGGAAGCACTTGGTTATAGTTATTTGTCTCTAGAGTTCCGTGTTCTTGTGTGTAAAGCTAAACCAAGAATGGTCATGTTGATGAGACGAAGCGGCAGTGCCCTAAACAGTTAATGAAGGCCTTGGAGCGTCCTGGTAGATCCGCTGAATTTTGGTTATTGCTCTCTGGGACAATCAGTACAACACCAAGTCAGCTGAACAAAGCACGCCACAAGAATTAAGATAATACTTTATCAGATTATACTAGAACTGCAGCGTGTCAAACCACACTACATCTTGTCACTTCACCAAAGATTATGGCAAGAATGCAGAGACATGTCTCCCATGTGACACATTAGGATATATTTTTTAATGAATGAGCTTTAACCAGAAAAGAGAGGAAAATATCAGCTTAAAGAGATAATAGTACAGCACTTTAGAGTTTATAAACTACTTGATGTGATTTTTTTTCCTCCTTTCAGCAAACCCATGAAGGAGGCAGGATCAAATTGAGGACCAACTGAAAATCAGAGAAATCGAAGGAATGCCAAAGTCATTGGTGAGACAGAAATATCTTTGGGGAATTGGGCTTGAGATTCACATCCAGGGCACATACTATTGCACCATACACAATCCAAGCACAGTTGGATCTTTGGTTTCAACAACCACTCCTCTCCCTGGCTTAAACCCACATGCAGAGTTCAGCTGCGGCTCAAAAGGCATTGACAATTCCTACTGTATTTTACATACATGCACACACTCATCCCTATCATTCTTGTAGCTCTATGTTCTGTGTGCTAGAGAGACCTAGTTTCAATCATTAGTGCTTTGTTCTTCTGAGAGTCCACAGCTGCACATGGGTAGAGTTAGCCCAGTAATCTGAAAGCAACTCCTGCAAGCCTGCACATTCTTGAATGTTTCCTACTGTCTCTAAACAATGGTCTAAATCAATAGGTGCCAAATTTTTTTGATAATTCTCCCTACCAAAAAAATTTAAACACAGTTCTTTAACATAAGAAAATCTACTTATTTACAAATGTTGCCTGTATATTGTAAATCTATGTTGATACAAATATATTTTATAAATGAATGATGATAAGCATTGTCATTATAAATATTTGGTAAGTGGTCAAAACTAGAATATTTTTAAAGTGAGTGAAAGATGAAATAGAAAATATTTACTTTTTATTCTTTATTTCATGTATTAATGGACCTAAAAGACTTAATATATAAACATTTCAGAGAGTATATAATTAAATATGCTTTGTTAGCTTTTTAAAATTTTGGATTAAGTTTTTTCACACAGAAATTTAAAGATCTGGTTTTAATTTTGATTTATTTAAATCCTTGGCTTTAATGATTGCCATAGATGAGAAGATGCCTCAAAAGAAAGATATATGTAAAGCAAAGAAATATACCATTGTAGGTTCTTAAAAAATGATGGTAAATATTTTTCATTTTTTTCCACTAATTATGCGAAGGCTTCACTGAAATAACTGCAAATGTCAATCAGCAGCTACAGTGAACTTATATAATAAATGCTTTCGTATCTTTGTGTGTGTGTTTACTTGTATATAAAACAAATGAGTTCGCATGCCACTTCCAAATGCCTCAGCTGGGGAAGCCTTAACTTGGTAGTTAATCTTGTTGCCAAGTTTTTCTTCACTTTTAAGCGAGCAAGCATGAACTGTTTAAAAGTGAGTTATTAACTTTAGTAACAAAACCACAAAACAATTAAACACGTCAAGCACTTGTGTTCAAAACGTTCTTTCCTCACCAAAAATTTATTTCAAGAATCAGCTATTTAATTTACTTTTTAAATACTGTGTTACCTCAAAGGGACAAATTAAATATGTGTATAAGCTGGGTAGTAAACTTACCACCATCACTTGTCATCTCAGGATCAGGACATTTGGAATATATATTTCTTGTTGTTATTAAATAAAAATGCATCTTTAAATTCTAAAGGACTTGTAGGTCATTTATGGACCAGAAGAAAAATCATCAGTCCTTTGTATAATAAAAAAGATGAAAATGGCCACTCACATCTCAGTGCAAAATGTTGTAGATGTTGTGTGAAGTCGTTTTCTTCGTAATAGCCACGACATCGATCACGATATCCTATCACAAGTAAACTGCAACACCATGCAAGTCTCTGATGAGTGAATGAACCGGGATGCTGGTCCCTGCCCTGCCCTCAGGACACTTCACATACGCTGTGGAATGCATCATGGGCTGAAAAACACACGGCTTGCTTGAAGTCCTTTGTGATATGTTCCACATATTTTAAAAAACTTAATTTCTGTCTCATGTTTTCAAAGTATAGAATAAATTGTACTGCAAGTCTTCATACGTTCTTGCCACACCCTAGATCATCTTACACACCCTCTGCAGTATAGACCTCTGCTTCACTTGTGGATAACTCATGACTTAAAATAATTTATAAGACTCATATTTGAGCGTGGATGTTTCAAATACAGTTTCTGGTTCTGGAAGGGTTTTCTAAGAGTTTGTACATCCTTATGAATTATTTGGAAAATATATCATATGTGTCTGCAAGAATACATTTTTATTGTTATTCCTGGAGAAGCTGTAGTTTCATCATATTCAAAAAATGGCGTCTGAACCCAAAAGTTTAATAGCCACTAACTCAGATAATACAAAATAGTTTTTAATTCTATTGAATTATTTAGATAATTGCATTGTTTTTGAAAATAAATGCCAGTGGAAACAAAGTTTGGTCACTTAGACCCTGAGAAGGAAAATTTTCCCAATGGATGAAGAGATGGCTTGGATCCTGCTGTTCACGTTCTTGTAACCCTTTTAAAGACACAGAGCCTTTATCGAGCTTCTCACATGCACGTGTGAAAAGAAGCCCAGATGACAAGAAATGATTTGTCAAACTTGAGAAAATGGCAAAGTGAGGTTACTGCCTGAGAACCCTGACTCCCAGCCCCGCAGTCCCTCCCAATCTGCGATATTTAACCACCAAATATCTCTTCACTGGAGCCACCTCGCTTCTAAATACCTTTATCTGACAAGACGCATGATTTCCCTTTAGAAAATCTATTTTCCTCGATTCCACTTTTAAACTACATTGTAATCCTCATTTTCCTTTGTTGGGACATTGAAGCTCTCGAGGCCAAGAGGAAACCTTGAGCCTCTGGAGATAGGCTTTGGTCTTGGTTTGGCAACTACCCTGATTAGCATCCTGCTGCGTGCTGCGTGCTGCTATGGAATCGCCCTTCTTGTTTATTGCAGAGACCATGATGAACAGCTCCATCTGTCTCTCCTCACTACACTGTCTCCCTTTGGGGCAGAAACTGGGTGTCCCCACTTCCCAGCCCTGACTCTAACACAGGTCAGTAAATGAGTGACTTTGTTGATGGAACTCAACTCCCAAAAAATGTTGCCTCTTGGGGACAGGGGATATTCACACCCTCCCTGAGAATTACACAGGAAGTGTGTCTTCCAATAAGACTGCATTTACTGATTCCTTACAGAACACCTTATTTTTTCATCACTACATTGGTTTTTTTTTTTTAAA